TGTACTAACACCATGACATAATTAGTTGCATGCGAAATTTCACAGTATCTTGGTTGATAATTATAACATTGAAATAGTCTTAAAATTTGATGTATAAATTCTAAACTAAATATGTGGTTTTTTGTTTTCTTTTTCTTTTTTCTTTTTTTTCTTTTTCTTGTTTTTTTTTTTGAGAGAAAGAGCGAGAGTAGGCTGGGGAGTAGAGGGAGAGAGAGAATCTTAAGCAGGCTCCATGCCCATGTGGAGCCGGAAGCAGGGCTTGATCACACACCCTGCGATGATTACTTGAGCTGAAATCAAGAGTTGGATGCTTAACTGACTAAGACATTAAGTGCCACATGTGCTCCGTTTTTTAAAAAAGAAATATATTATTTTTCAAACTTTTTTTTAAATAATTTATATCATGGCAACATTAAAATAAACATTGCTGACATTGTTTAAACAAAACTTTGCAGTGGTCTATAGAAAAAAGTGCAATTAGATAACATTTTGAGAATTTGTATTTGTGATTTTCTAAATGTTGAGGTAGATTCTGTTCTTTGTCTTTGGTACGCTCTTGTGGTCATTGGAAGGGATTGGTTTGGCCTTCTTTTAACAATTATGTATAATTTCATGTTTTTATCTGCATGGTAGATCTATAGTTTTTATAATTATTTGACTTTTTTTTTTTCCTTTTTTTTGGCTATATACAGATTTGGAGTAAAATTGACACTTGGAGTTTCCCTCTCATTCCTTACTTTACTGTGTAAAGTGAGGGTGTGGCATAACCACTGTTGCTATTCTTAGAAGCTAAGATATAATATGGCCACTGTGCTTAGAGTAAATGTAGTGTCATTTGGAAAGCAGATTGATTGCAGATCCAGAACTTACCTTATACTTTTGCTAGCTAAAATTGGGTTTGGGGAATAATTTGCTATTTTGGATGATCTCCTTTTAAACTTTGTAATACATATACTCACATGCGTCCAAACATCACACATATATACATACATATATATGACTTCATTTTAAATGATTACCTAGTCCAAAGATCGTTAACTGGATTTACAGAAAATGTAACACTATAGTGGAGTCTCCCTTTTTGAATCATGCTGTGACAATGAGACAGGAATCACATACAGCATTTAATAAAGACTCATGGGTGTTTTTCCTTTTGTCAGCAGCATTTGTTTCAGAGCAAATTTTTAGCTTGATATCCAGAACATACAACTCAAAGAATAAGCGTAGTTGTATGGTGTTAAATGAGTAAGTCCAAGTGAGACTTGGCTTCCATGAGGAGTATATCATGGCTTTTGGGACAGATGTGAATTTCAAGGAGAAATGCTCTTTGTTTTTAAGAACATGCTTCCCCACATTATAGTTGTCCTTCTTGTGGCCTACTCAGCTCTTTAATTTTATGCTAGATCCAAGTGTGTTTTTGTTTTCTACAACATCACTGGAATCTTTGAGTAGATCTTTTTTGCTGGCCTGATGGTGTGAAGCACTAGGGTTTGAATAAGAGTCCAGGAAGTGCTCTGGGAATGATTTTTGTATTGCCAGGAATGCTGACGTGTTGGCGCTGAATTAATGTTTCCAAAAATGCCATCAAACACTCAACTGAAAACAAAGATACTAGTGTTGTCACTGCAGCTGTGTTCTCTTCATCTTTACCCAGTTTCTTCTATGCATAGCAAATGATTTTAAGTCCCCTAGCATAAGATAAAAGTGAATCAGTCTTGTGGACTATACTATAATGCAACCGGTTGCCCCCCAGTATTTGTGCACATTGGGATTGAGTTAAACTATTTGTGTGGAATTGTCCCTGGTATCATGGATATTGGTTTTTTGTTTGTTCGTTTGTTTGCTTTTAAACAAATGGAATATCTTTGAGGGACTATGGTGCCCAGTGTAATAAGAGGAAGAATTTCACTCTTTCATTAAATATTTATTGAGCACTCTCTCAAATATTCAGTTTGAAAGAGGATAGGGTATATAAATAAATTTCTCTGCTACAGTGTTATACATGAACACCATGAGAAACCCATATATAAAGCTCTACGAGTATTCAAAAGGGAGAAAGAGTTGATGGAAGGGACTTGTGAATGAGGCCTGTATGAGTTGGATACTAAAAGTGGTTGTAACTTGAATATGTAGAAATTGGAAGAAATGAGCAGTTATGTCAAAGGAGAGATGGCCAGGAAAGAAAAAAGAAAAGGAGCTCAAAAGTGCTAGTGAGAGAGTCTTTTTGACAGGTTGACTGGGCAGGTCAATTGTGTGCATGAAATGCTAGATGAAAAAGTAAACTCCAGGGACTCCTGGGTGGCTCAGTTGGTTAAGCCGCTGCCTTCGGCTCAGGTCATGATCCCAGGGTCCTGGGATCAAGTCCCGCATTGGGCTCCTTGCTCAGCAGGGAGCCTGCTCTCTCGCTGCCTCTGCCTGCTTCTGTGCCTGCTTGTGTGTACTCTCTCTCTCTCTCTGACGAATAAATAAAATCTTAAAAAAAAAAAAAAGTAAACTCCACTGAGAAAATGGTGAAACGTTCACCCAGGTATCTTGTTACAACTGTAGAGAGGACAAGCTCTTCCCTTTCTAACCTTGGACTTCCCTGCTTCCTTTTGGGTCTGCTACTCCACATTTTGTAATGTGAGTTTCTCAGTAGACTTATTTTTTTTTAAATGTGAATGCCACTTTTTTTTTTTTTCTTTTTTTTTTTAAATTGTGTTTCTCCTAGTAGGACCACGTTTTGTCCTTAGGTAATGAAAATCCTTTGGAGATTTTGAATTTTCTCATTTATAGGTCTAGTAGTTGAATTCACAAACATATTAGTACTCTTAAATGGTCCAAAAGTGACTTGAGTTTTGCAGTACAACCCTACTTGCTCTTCCCATTCAGTGTAATTTTATCAGTTAACCTTCTAAAGTTCCATATTTGGAACTAGATCCTAGTGGGTTAAAAACATCAAAGGTGCCAGTGGATCAAAATAGAATTACTTGGATCTATCAATCTCAGTCTGACAACCTCAGATAATGTGAAAAACAGGCGAGAGCCCTGCTTCTCTTATCCTTTTCTCCTTTCCTCCCCTTCTTCTCCTGTCCCTCTGTACAATTATCCATCTATTTTCTTAAAATTTTTCTTTTTTTTCCAAATATATATACATTTATTTATTGTTATATTAGTCACCATAAAATACATCATTAGTTTTTGATGTAGTGTTCCAAGATTCATTGTTTACATAAACATGTAATATGTGCCCTCCTTAATACCTATCACCAGACTCACCCATCCCCCCACCTCCTCCCTTCCAAAACCCTTAGTTTGTTTCTCTGAGTCCACAGTCTCTCATGGTTTGGTTTTTCTACTGATGTACAACACAGTGTTATATTAGTTTCACATGTGCAACATAATGATTTGACAACTCTATACAGTATGCTGTGCTCACCACAAATGTAGCCACCATCTGTCACCATACAACAGTGTTATAGTACCATTGTCTATACACCAATGCTGTACCTTTCATCTCTGTGACTTAATTTATTCCATAAACTGGAAGCCTGTTATTTGCTACTCCCCCAAAGTATGACACACTTCATAAATTTGTGTGTCATCCTTGCACAGAAGCCATGCTAATCTTCTTTGCATTGTTCTAATTTTAGTATGTGCTGCTGTGAATTGAGCTCATATCTAACTATTATTCTTTATTAAACTCTTTCAAATAGTTAAGCAAATGAAGTAAAGCATTATGTATGATAATCATAGAGCTTGCTAAGAATAATAATTCCCAAACCTCTGGATGGTGGAAATAGGAATTTACATTTTGAATTAGGCTTAAAAATACTTGACTGTTATTAAAGTGGTTCAGGCATTATACTTCCAGAAACACTAAAATAAAAGCAAGTAACAGTACTTCTTTGGCCAATGAATTTTATAAGTCTGATTACCTAGTATTTACTTCATATGGACTCATAAATGGAAAAAAACAAAAAACAAAAACAAAAAAACTTGCCTGGTTTGGGACACCTGGGTAGCTCAGTCGGTTGAGCATCTTACTTTTGGTTTTGGTTCAGGTCATGATCTCAGGGGTCCTGAGATCAAGCTCTGTGTTGGTCTCTATGCTCAGTGCAGAGTCTGCTTGAGATTCTCTGTTCCTCTTCCTCTACCCCTCCCACTTGGGCTGTCTCTCTCTCAAATAAGTAAGTAAATTTTAAAAACAAAACAAAACGAAACAAAAACCCTTACCTGGTGGATAACGTATTTATAGATGGAGAAGTTTATATGCCCAGGATTTTATTCCATTTGCATTTGTATAAGAGTATGCCACAGGATGAAATGTAGAGTTGTCCTCCTCTTCCACAAAAGGCCAGCCTGGTTACAGTTTTCCCTATAAATCAATGTAATTTTGGGAAATTTTAGGGAAAAGCAAAGGTCAGCTATTATAGTTATGATAAGTATATGATAAAGATGTTGCTAATCTTTTTGGTTTGACTTTGAAACATCTTATTTCATTATTTCATGCTACCAGCTTTTAGAAGTCCATTTTTCACCATCAAGAATGAATTGTTTGAAATATTAGGTATCTTTTTGTAGCTGTGAAATAATGATTCCTTGAAAAGAGTCTGTGTGAGCAGTTCTCCAAACTGGTCACATATTAACTAACTGATACCACCAAAAAGCATAAATGAGACATTTTCTCTTGGCCCTATCTCAGACTTACTAGAGCAGAATCTCGTGTTAAGAATCAATTATAAAGTTCTCAGAGGGATTCTACTGTAGCCAGCCTGCCTCCCTCCATGCTATATAGTTCCATGAACTTCTTTGAGAATATTTGAATACATTTGAATACATATTTGAATACATATTCAAATTACTTGTTTCACATTCTTTTTCATACTCCATCAAGTTTTGTGCTTAGTTGGAGCTCACTAAATCTTTATTAAATACTTGTATTGGACATTTGATGGGAATGTTAAAAAATCAGTTTTATTCTCGAATTAGAATGTTTTGTTGTTATTGTCATCTCCTAGGATGGAAAGAAGAAGTTTGACAAGGAGAGTGAAAAGTACTATTCTATTCTTGATAAACATTTAAATTTATCTGCAAAGAAAAAGGAATCTCATTTGCAAGAGGTAAGCTTTTCCACTTGAATTGTGAACAGGACATTAGCATTAAGTCATGTGAAATCCAAATTTCCAAAGGTGGTAGTATCTCAGAATCTGCTATTCTATAATAAAAAAAATGATAATAGGAGTTAATTGAGCACTTACAATGGACAGACACTGTGCTGAGCATTTCACATGCTTTATGACCCTTAATATTAACAGTTCCAAGTAAAAGATTAGTTATTTCCTGCAATGATGAGAAAGAATGAAATAAGATATTTTTTTTTTCCTCCTTGGGTATATTTTCAAAGGCAGGATCTACCAAATTGATGGAGTAGCTTTTTTAAAATATCTACTTTTAAGGAGTTGCTTTTGCATTAGGGGTAAAACAGATACAAAATTACACGTTTTAAAATCTTTAAAAAAAATTAAAAAAATTTCTATCAATTTCTTAAAAAACAAGTCAGCAGAAATTTTAACCTCTATGCATTTAAACAATCAATTTTTTCTTTGTTCTGAAATATTTATTCTCATTGGTAGTTTTTAACTATAACTAATAAAATTGAGTAGTTCTTTTACTAAGTCATAGTACAGTTGCAGTACAGTGATGAGCTACATTTAAAAAAATATTTGGACTCTCTTGCCATTATGATCTAGGCATCAATAAAATCTTGAAACACAGTGCATGGACATCAAACCCAGTATGGTTGGGAGTTGTTGAGCTAGTTCACTGGTTGCTCCTTACTCCAGACCTTTGCAAGGAATTTTATTCTGTGCTGAGTCTCCTCCAGTATCTTCTTTCTCTTCTGTCTGTACTTCTACGTATCATAGTTAAGAACCTCTTTCAAATGCCTCCTCTTAATCTTTCTAGTAAAAGCATAAACCTTACTGAACTACTTATCAAATTCAACCTGGTTCTCTGTTTTCCTTATTCCTTTTTTTATTTACCTTACCTCCACATTTACCCACCAGGCATACTTGACAAGTTAGAATTTGGATGCAGTGAGATGGAGTCAAAAGTTATGGGAGGTTGTTTTTACTTCTATTTCTTTTTTTCTGTACTCTTATGTTCTTATTGAGGGGACTGAATTTCTTCATTTAAAAACTTTTTAAAAAAAGTTTAATATTTGGAATATTTGTTATTTGAATATGTGTTCATGATAAATAATATCTTGTTATTAGTGCCTATTATTAAAATAGGATATATTAATATCCAATTTGTGCTGAGGGAAAGAATTTCTGGCTAAATTAAGATGGAGAAAAACTATCATTAAGAAAAGTCATATCTGAGTTTTCATAGACATATCTAATCTTACGAAGTACTATGTTGTAACTTAATATTATGTTCACAGGTTCCAAACTTCTTAAATGCTTATGTACCTCTTTGGGCATTACACTACAACAAACTTAGGAAAGAATGCATTGCATAGATATAATCTGGTGAAGAAAGTCTCGCCTAATTATCACCAATACATCACTATTTGCCATGCCAAGGGCTATGGCCAGGTGCAATTTTAAAAATACAATGCCTCTAAAGCAATGGTGCTTTTTAGGGTCTCTAAAGGGTATATGTTTTTCAGATTCTTGGTGAATATGAGAGACCACACTTAGACATTACTTAAATAATCAAGCAAGTTCTAACTTTATCTTAATTTTAAAATCCCCTAGAGGATATACTTCAGTTTTCCTTGACAACCTAACTCTATATTTAATATTAGCTTGTTAGTGACCCTCAATTCCTTAGGCTATGGTAGAAAATAATATCTGTTCTGGTTCTGTATTTACTTGGAGCCTGGGAAAACCTATAGTATGATTAGCAGCATTCTCTACTTGCCCCACACATGTGGGCACATACTTCTTTTCCAGGAGCCGTAGCCCACAACACAAATTGTTGCTGAGTGGCTCCTCAGAGCATGGAATGTAGCCAAGGAAGTATGTGCCTTGTTTTGTTTTGTTCTTTTCCCTCTGCATTTTCAGGAATCAAACCTGTTGTAGGGAAATGCTACCATACATGTGTTTAATTCTGTAACCTCTCTTCCTTTCCAGAGCAGCTCTGGTTCTTCTGTCAGCACCCTGCTTATTTTCTTCAAAAAGATTGCTCTGTGCCTTCTCACCTGCAGAGCGGAATCCTTGTTGATTTGTTCATGGAAAATAAGTGGTTGTCCATTTTTAGGACTGAATTAGGGGTCAGTTTGTGTTGATAAAGCTACAAGGCCATCATATGGATGGGTCATTGGAGTAAGCAGAATTAGAACCAGACTTGTTAAGATTATAGACTTTATAGACTTTATAGTGAATGAAAAGAAGTAATATTTGATGTATAATTGGACAATGTCTTTCTAAGTATGAAATGACAGGAAGAGATCACATAAAGGAAATGTAGAAAGACCAGAATGCATCAAAATAATTTTTACTTCAAAAGATATTAAATTAAAAGGCTAAGTGTTAGGGAATTTGTACAACAAATGACACAGGATTACTATCTTTTATATACAAGTTGCATTTGCAAATCAGTGTGAAAAGGTCTTCAATGGAAATTATGAAGTAAGAATTGGAAAGAGCAAAAAATGGAGGGGAAGATGGTGGCAGAATAGGAAGACCCTACCTAGGGTTGCCTCATCCCATGAATCAAATAGATAGCTATCACATCATGCTAAATACCCAGAAGTTGACCCAAAAACGTTCAGGAAAAAACTCCACAACTAAAGGGAGAGAAGAGGCCACAACAAAGAAGGTAGGAAGTACAAAAACACAGTTTGGGAGAGAAATAGATCATGGCCATTGTGGTAGGGGTAGCCACAGTTGCTGAGAAGGGTGAGAGAGACAGACTAACACATGAGGAAGGAGGGGAGCACAGTAGAGAAATGAATCCGCACAGCAATTGGCTTTTTAGAAAGCAAGAGGAACTGATTTTGAATTTGGCAAGTTCTGGCAACCATGGGGCTTAAAGCCTGAAGTTCTAATGGTCAGCAGGCTTGGCTCAGGGAGATCCTGGCAGCATTGGGATTGCTCTTGGAGAGAAGGCAGGGTAAACAGCTTGTGGGCATACAGCGTGGAAACAGTGATCTGAAGAGCACCTGGGTCACCCAGTGAAGAGGTTATTTGCTTATCTCGGAATATGTGCCAAAGAGGCAACATTCACAAAGAGACCCCTCCCAGAACAAAAGAAATGGCAGGTGCCATTTCCCTCCCCTGCCGCTCAGCATAAGCACAAGGCCACCTGTGGGAACCACCCCCTTGTGGAACCACCCTTCCCAGGTCATGCTTGCCTTGGTCCCAGAATTGCAGCCCCCCCACCCCGCCGCAGGTCAGCCAAAATCCTGCCAACACTGCATCTCCAGTTGCAGGAACTTTGTGGAGCCTAGGTTCTAGTGGCAGTGGCAGTATGTCTCATTTCACAAGCAGACCAGAGCACACCTAGTTGAAAGGCACCACATTCAGGCTAGGGACCAAACATGGCCTGGAAAGGCAAAGAGAGCCTCTGCAGATGACTGGTCTGAAGGATAAAGCAGCCAGGACACAAGAACAGAGCACATTAAGCACACATTGGAGATAATCCCAGAAGTGCTGGGCCCTGGGAAATAAGGGACACTACAAGTGGTACACTATCAGACCTCTTCTTTATAAGGCCATTACTCTAAAGAATAGGAGATGTAACTGACTTTCCTAACATAGTCACAGAGACTTAAACAAAATGAGAAGACAGAGGAACTTGTCCCAGATGAAAGAATGGGACAAGAGATCTAAGGCCATGGCCAAAGATCTAAGTGAAGCAGATATAAGTTACATGACTGAGAGAGAATTTAAAGTGGTGATCATAAAGATACTTGCTATGCCTCAGAAAGGAATAGAAGGCATCAGTGAGACCCTTAACATGTAGATAAGAAATAACATAGCAGAGATAAAGGGCTCAATAAATGAAATGAAAAACACACTTGATGGAATAAATAGCAGGATGGAAGAAGCAGAGGAACAAATTAATGACCTAGAGGTTAGAGTAATAGAAAGTAATCAAACAATTACTCCAAAAATAGAAAAAAGAACTATGCAAAATAAGAATAGAGTTAGGAAAATTAGTGACTCCATCAAACATAATAACACTATTATGGAAGTTACAGAAGAGAGAAAAAGGAGGCAGAAAATTTATTTGAAATTCAATGATAGCTAAAAATTTCCCTGTCTGGAAAGGAAACAGATACCCAGATCCAGAAGACACAAAGAAACAAAGTTTAAAAAACAAAGTTAAAAAAAACAAAAAACAAAAAAAAAACAAAAAAAAACACATCCATACCAAGACATATTGTGATTTAAAAAAAAAAAAAATACAGTGATTAAAAAAAAATAAATAAAGAAGCAAGAGAAAGAAGACAATTACATACAAGGGAAAACCCCTTAAGGGTATCATGGGAAATTTCCACAGAAACTTTCTAAGCCAGAAGGAAGTGGCAAGATATATTCATGATGCTGCCTGGGAAAAATGTGCAGCCAAGAGTACTCTAACAGCAAGGCTATCATTCAGAATAGGAGAGATAAAGAGTTTTCCAGACAAATAAAAACTAGAGAGTTTCTGATCAATAAGCCAGCCCTGCAATAAATATTGAAGGGGGTACTCTTAGTGGAAAGGAAAGACCATAAGTAGGAGTATGAAGGAAGGAAACAAAAACAAACAAACAAACAAAAAATATGAAGGAAGGAGAAAAAAAAGTAAAAATGAATATTGTTTATAAAGTCTCAGTCAAGGACCCACAAAATAAAAGGTTGTAAAACATGGCACCATATACCTAAAACATGAGGAAGACAAGAGGTTCATCTTAATACAGACTACTGTATACGGAAGATGTTATATACAAGCCTAATAATGATAAGCACAAATCAAAAACCACTAATACATATGCAAGAAATAAAGAGAAAGGTATCCAAATATATCACTAAAGAAAACCAGCAAACCATGAAAGAGAGAAAGACAAAGGATCGGAGAAAGTCTTCAGAAACAACCACAGACCAGGTAATAGAATGGCAATAAATAT